GTCCCATTCATCTAGTTTCTCTTCTGTTGTTTGTGCATTTTGGGTTATGCTTGATAGTCTATTTATGCCATATATTAGGGCCCCTAAATTTGCCCCTAGTTTTTCCTTGAGGAACTGTATAGTTTCAGGTTTCACATTTAAGTCCTTGCTCCATCTGGAGTTAGTTTTTGTGTATGGTGTGAGGTATGGATCTTGTTCCATTTTTCTGCAAATGGACATCCTAGGCTATAATCTTTATGGCAGCAGCTCGCCAGGTCTTTTCTCCCTCAGAGCCACTACTGGGTTTGAACCACTGACCTTTCAGCAGCTACGCACTTAACTGTTGCACCACTAGAACATATATATTTTTGTGCAGTTTGCTTTTGTTTGCATAAGAGATCGGTATCTATATCCATCTCTCTATCCATAACTAAAATCTGCATTCACTGCCTAGAGTGAATTCTGATAACATAAGCATTCTCAGGGATTTCTTTCTTTCTCCCAACACCAAGGCTAGAGGCAGGGAGGCAGTTTTTCTGACTGTCCTTTGAAAGGGAGAGGTGTATTTATGGGAGATGTTAAATGCATTTACTCTTCACACTGGTGTCTTAATCAGCTTCATGTGTTGAGGAGGTGGTCTCCTATTAGACTTCCCATTTCAAACCATTCCTAGGCTTGTGTGTTCTCCACACGCCTGTTGTTGGGTGCCGTCGAGTTGGACTCGACTCATAGCGACCCCTCCTTGGGTTGCCGAGGCAGTATCACTACGGAAGTAGATTGCCCCAACTTCCTTCTGAGGAGTGGCTGATGGGTTTGAACCGTCAGCCTTCTGGTTAGCAGTCAAGTGCCTTAGGCACTCTGCTACCAGAGCTTCCTACACGCCTAGTGCCTGTAAAAAACTAAAGTTTATGATTCCTGAGCTTCACATGTCTTTGGTTAAAAGCTGGTTTTAGTGCTCTCGTTATTTCTCTGGGTTCCTGCTTTGTCATTGAGTTTGATGTTTGAGTATTCCTTATTCTTTCCTTCTTATATTTTAAAAGATTAGTTTACTTTTATTCCTCATTTGTCTTTGTTTTCAGCAAGAGGGTCAGTCCAGGCTAGTGTTGTTAGCTCTAGTTCTGGCGCCTGATGCTCTGGGCTGCAAGGAGGTGCTGGTGACCTTTTGTTGCTCACCTTTTTTTCCCCCCAGCTCTCCGGGAGATGCTGCATAACCACTCCTTTGTGGGCTGTGTGAATCCTCAGTGGGCCTTGGCACAGTATCAGACCAAGTTATACCTTCTCAACACCACCAAACTCAGGTAAGTCGGTGCATAAATGGAAAGCGCAGCCGCTAGAAGAGCAGTTACATGTGTTGGAATATTAACCCCTGTGCCTATGTTTGGATATAATCCCATTTGGCAATGGAATTTTTCTTTGTTAATGAGGCAGTATCGATATAGGGTGATAAGAGCCAATCACTTTTGAGATATAAAAGAGCACATTAGGCACAGAAGCAAGCAAGCACAAATAGGGAAATATAGAAAACCAAGAAAAAGCTGAGACAAACATTTTCCCTGAAAGTGAAAAAAAGGGAAAGCTAACCCCTAGAGCTGGTGCCACAAATTCAGACTTCTAGCCTCCTAAACTGAGAAAATAAATTTCTGTTCATTAAAGCCACCCACTTGTACAGCAGCACTAACCTGGACAAGTGGTCCAGGGAACACAGGCACAAAATGTCAGGGAGAGGCAGCCTGAGGTAGCTGGAAAGGGCATAGGCCTTGGAGTCTGACAGTTTTGGCTTCAAGTCTAGGCTTCACCATTTGTCATTGATGTGACTGTAGACAAGTTATTTTCCTAAACCATATCTCAGATTTCTCATCTGGGAAGTTGGGATATTTCTATTTTATTTGCATATTTTTTTTGTGAGGACGAGAAATAACATGAGAAGCCTCGTCCTTGGGTAGGTATTCATGTTAGCTACTGTCTCTTGTGCTGCTGCTTTGATACAGGTGTTGAGGATTTAGAGCTGTTTGAGGTCTTAAACATCTGTGTGTGATAACATCCTGTGGGGGATACAGGAGAAAGAAAACCTGATGCTGCCTTTCCTCCCAGTTGTGGGGATTGGCAAAGTCTTACTCTAACCACCAGAACAAGCCAGTGGGGTTGATCAGCACAGAAAGGGTGATCCCAGCAGAGCCATTTGCCTGGTATGTAGCTGTCTACAATTCTATTGACAGTTTCCAGGGACCTTGGTCGATGAGCTCCTGGTGAGTCTGGAACCTGTATTAAATAAGTTCTTGGATAGGTAGTACAGTGGGAAGAGGTTGCCATCTTGTATCTGCTAGCTATCACTTAGCCACTATGGGACTCTTTCCCCCTCAGCCTTGCTGAGCCCTGTGAGTGGGGCTACCACTACCAGTTTTTTGAGTTGGCACATGAGATGCAAACCTGTTTGCCTCCCTAACTTAGAAACTGCCTTAGTACAGAAGCTTACCATTGGCACACATATTCCCTGGATATTTAGAATATCCTGAATATTTAGCACTCCTTCCTTCTAGGCTTAGAAACTCTTTGGGTACAGCTCTGTTCAAAGTCCATTTTCTTTGCTTTGAGCATCCTTGGGAATGTCAATAAGCTGCCACTTACTAGTTTGTCAGGGGATTCTATTCCCCTTGCTTTTTCTGTTCAGCATCTCTAAGTGTATGACATCCAAGGCTCTAAGTCCCAGTTGTGTTCAGGTTCTTTCAGAACCTCACAGGAACAAATCCAGGCCAGTCCAAGAATTTCACCTATTAGTTAATGTGAATGGTTTCCCAGTAAGAAGGTAAAAAAAAACATGGGGAGAGAACCAGTTTCAGAGTCCAACAAGTACATTCAGCTCCTTCCTTTACCACTTCACTCTGACCTGGGACAAATCAGTTACTCACTGGAAACTGCCTCAGTTTCCCCATCTGTAATGCAGGCATAGCAGATGCTTTGTCCGTTTTCACTGATGGTGAAGTCTTTAAGCAAGACCAATATGGTTCAAATTGCTTTAGGAACTAAAAAGTACCATATACCAGTTCTGTTTTCTGAGAGTCAATATATTATACATTTCATAGCTGTTTTGGGAATGTTGCCTGCTTTATGTCCTTGTTTGATTGTTTAGGAATCTCCCTACCTTCCCTTACATTCCACATCATTTTTAGTGGTGAGTTGTAAAAGTGATTTATGGGATTCTTTAAGTGGAAGGGAAAGTAAGCAAACAACAAACTCCTTAAATTTCACTACAAGATGTCAAAAACTTTTTACAGCACCAGAGGGGTAGGGATAGAGCAAGGGTGATAGTAAGCCGGAATTGAGTCTTAGCCCTTTCATCTGCATGTGGAAAAAGCCAGACACAAGGAATCCCAGCTCTTTGAAAGATAGAAGATCTTGTTAGACTGCTAACCAACCAGGTTATAGCAAGGCAGTACCATCTCTTTGGCCCATCCCTGTTTCAGGCTTGCTTACATCTCCCATTTTCCCTACTGCTTAGCACCGAGCAGGAGTTCAGCTTTTCCTTAAAGTGACTTCATTTTTATTTTCAGTGAAGAACTGTTCTACCAGATACTCATTTATGATTTTGCCAATTTTGGTGTTCTCAGGTTATCGGTAAGTTTATTTTTCCGCTTCCCACTTCTGCAACTTCAACAATTAGTCATTTCCGAAAATAGGAGCACTACATTGGTACTTTATTTGTGGTATATTAAACTTTTAAAAATACACTTATGATAGTTTCTGTGTTATTTGAGTTGCGTAAGGAGGTTTCTTTAAGTATGATAAGGTTTTACACTTATTAGCCAAACAGTCATTTGGTAGCCAACTTAAAAAAATGTTTGTGACATTAGTTCTTACCTGTTTAAGGATATTTGGAAAGATATGAAAATAGAAATTAGAAATAAACATTCCCTAAAGCCCATAATCTGAGTACAACCCCTACTAATGATTTTAGTGCATGTCTTCCAAGATTTTTTCTATGCCTAATTTTAAACTTCAAATGATACCACCTACCTATGTCATTTCATATCTTCTGTTTTAATTTGACAAATTCTACAAAAGAGCTTATGGGTTTTTTATTGAATCTGTTTTTGGGGAGAAAAATCTTAGATTTATATTTTTCAGTTTGTACTTCTAAATGTCACTGTTGAATTTTTTTGTTCATTTCCATTTCCTGTTGTTTGTTGCTAGCATACAGAAATACGATGGATTTTTTTATATTGATATTGTATTCTGCAGCCTTGCTAAACTCACTTAGTAGTTTTAATACCTTTTTTGTGAAGTCCATCAGATTTTCTGCCTCCATGATCATGTCATCGTCAGATAAAGGTGCTTTTGCTTCTTCCTGCACAATCTGGATGCCTTGTCTTTCTTTTTCTTGTCTGGTTGCACTGGCTAGAACCTCTAGTAAAATGTGGAATAGAAGTGATGAGAGTAGAAATTACTGCTTTGTTCTTCATCTTAGGGGGAAAAGCATCCAGTCTTTCTCTATTAAGTATGATGTACCCTGTGGGTTTTTCATAGATGTCCCTTCTCAAGTTGAAGAAGTTCCCTTCTATTCCTAGTTTTCTGTGAGTTTTTATTAGGAATAGATGTTGAATTTTGTCTTCTACTTTTCTGTATCTATTCAGATGATCATACAGGTTTTTTTTTTTAGTTAATATATTTAATTATATCCATTTTCAAAATCACTTTTACATTGATATTTTAAAATAATATTTTATTGTGTTTTGAGTTAAAATTTACACAGCCAATTAGGTTCCCATTTAACAGTTATGACACATCGTTCAGAGAAATTGGTTATATTTTTCACAATGTATCAATTTTCTCATTAATTCTATCTGTATGTTTCATTTGCAGTAATCTGTTGTTCCTGTCTCCTTACCCTTTCATCTGTGCTTTAGAGTAATTATTGACCATTTGGTCTCATACAGATGATTTTTTAAAGTACACAGTAATTACTATATTTTATGAGCCAAACTGTATTTAGCTAGAAAGTGACCTCAGGGTAATTTCAGTTCAAACTTAATGGAATAGCTAAGTCTCACCTAATCCAGTAAGTCTTGGCTTTTTAAAACTTTGAGTCTGTTCCACATACTTCTCTCCTTCAGGTTCCACCTGTTGTGGTCCTGGTCGGAATAGACAGAAGTGACAGCTGGGCACCATCTAGTTCTTCTTGTCTCAGGAAGATGAAGCTGTGATTCATGTGTATTGTTAGTTTTGTTGATTAGCTTCTTCTCTGAGTCTTTGGTTTCCTTCTTTTTCTTTTGCTCTGCACAAGCCTGACAATTATATCTTAGATGACGACTCACCAAAGTAGGATGTAGAATGTAAACTTTATGAAATATATTATGCCACTTGACCAAGTTGTCCCACAGGACTATGGTTTCAAGGCTTCAAACCCAGAAATCTAATCTCATGAGGTATTTGGTTATGTCTAAGAAGTATCTATTATTGTGCCCTGTAAGTGAGTCAGTGTGCATGTAAACACTTGCATATACATAGATATATAGATAAAGAAATATATATAAACCAAAAAAAACAAACTCACTGCTATTGAGTCAGATCCAACTCATAGCCACCCCTCCTTGGTTTTCCGAGCAGTATCTCTACAGAAATAGATTGCCCAGTCTTCCTGTTGAGGAGTGGCTGGTAGGTTTGAACCACCAGCCTTCTGGTTAGCAATCAAATGCCTTAGGCGCTATGCCACCAGAATTGGTGATTGGTTTTTCCATATCCTTAAAGAACGTTTATGGGATCTGGATTGGGATTACAGTGAATGTATAGATGGCTTTGGGTAGAATTGACACAAAAATGGGCTTTTTTACTGAGTGACATCATTTACTTTGGTCATTTACATTTGATTTTCATAGTGTGAAACTAACCTTGTATTCATGGGATGAGCCCTGCTTGCTCATGGTGTGTTACCCTTTTTATTTATCGTTGGATTTGATTTACTAATATTTTGTTCTATGTGCATGAAGGATATTGGTTTGTGGTTTTCTTTTCTTGTTATTATCTTGTCTGGTTTTGATACCAAAGTAAGTCTGGCCTCATAGAATGAATTTGGTAACTGTTCCCGACTTTTCTATTTTCTGGAAGAGTTTGTGCAGAGTTAGTGTAATTTATTCCTTAAATTTTTGTTAGAATACACCAGCGAAACCATCTGGGCCTAGAGATTTCTTCATGGTGGGACTTTTAACTACAAATTCAACTTCTTTATTAGCTATGAAGGCATTCAGATTATCTTTTTCTTCCTGAATGAACTCTGGATTTGTATCTTTTAAGAAATTTTCTTATTTCACCTAAGTGAAAAGAAAAATTCAAATTTATTGGTATAAAGTTGTAATATTTTTATTACCTTTTTAATATCTGTACATCTTTGATTATAAACCCTCTTATTTCTAATGGTAATTTGTCTTCTTTTTTTCTTGATCAATCTGGCTAGAGGTTTATCAATTTTACTAATCTTCTCAACTAACTTTTGGTTTCATTGATTATTCTGTTTTTGTTTCTGTTTCATTGATGCCTGCTTTGACCTTTATTACTTCCTTTCTTCTACTCATTCTGGGATTAGTTTGCTCTTCTGTTTCAAGTTTCTGAAAGTTGGGTCACTGATTTGAGACCTTTTTTGTTTGTTTGTTTAGTGCTATAAATTACCCCCTAAGTACTACTTTAGCAGAATCCCACAGACTTTGTGAAAATAGCATGGCATGGGGTGTGTGACCTTCTTTAACTCCACAAGGTGGAAGAATCACCTCAGCATCAGGCCAAGGCTGATTCCTGTGAGATGGACGTCAAACATACCTCCACCGTCCAACTTTTATACCACTTCTGACACCAGCTGTCCTTTCCTGGCACTCTAATTTTCTCCTGGCTTTGATAATTAATTACAGTGGCCACACAGAATTTATAGACAAATACGATTATGGGGTTTATTGGGAGATAACAGGTTATGATTCAGGATCAGGAACAACTCAGGATACAGTTCTTCAGTCAGGACAGCATCTCGGCCATATCCATAGACAAACTTCTCGCTCAGCCCCTTCCCAGCTCAGGCCAGTGTTAGAGCTCTTTAGCTCCACCAGTAATTGCCCAGAGACACTTTGCTCTGACAGTAAGCCTTGGCCCAAAGACACTCAGCTCTCTTTCTCCGTGGGTTGGCAAGCCTCACTCTGTCACATGTCCAGAGGGCTCAGCTCTCACTCTCTCACTCACTCTCTCTCTTTCTTCCTCTGAATCAGCACACCCACTGTAGCTGCCTTGCTCTCTGTGGGCCCACAGTACCTTCCCATGCTGGTTTCTTGGTTCTGTGTTATTTCTCTGCCACACTTGCTGCCACCTCTCACTTTCTCCCACTTCTTACTGTCTTGTACCTTCTCCAATATTACAGTGCTCTCTGTCTCCTGGGTGTAGGAGATTCTCAGCTCAGGGACCCCAGGTCCAAAGGATGCGCTCCACTCTTGGCTCTTCTTTCTTGATGGTAGTGAGGCTTCTCCCCGCTGCCCCTTGCTTGGGGATTTGGGTCTCTTTTTAAGCCTAGTTGATGTCAAAAGTGATCATTCCCCTCTTTAAGGTTCCATACATGTTATTTACATAGTCCCACCCAATAATTTTTTGGGAATCACAAAACTACATGGCTAGAAGGGCCATATTAAGTAATTCACTGCACTGCATTACTATATTGTTTTCATTTTCGTTCAGTTCACAGTCTGCAGTTTTCCTTTTGATTTATATTTTGACCCAAGGGCTATTTAGAAGTGTTTTTAGTTTCTAAATACCTGGGAATTTTCCAGAGATGTTATTAATTTACTAATTTAATTTCATGGTGGTCAGAGAACATACTTGAATCCTTTTATGCTTACTAAAACTCATTTAAAGGCTCAGAATATAATCTTGTCTTGGTAAATTTCCCATGTGCACTTGAAAATAATTTGTCTTCTGTTGTTGTTGAGTAGAATGTTCTATAAATATCCTGTACAGGCAGTCCCTGGATTACAAATGAGTTCCATTTCTAAGTTTGTCTTTAAGTTGTATTTGTACGTAAGTTGAAACAGCTAGGTATGTATGTATCTAAAGTCAGTCAAATGTTTGTCTTAGGGTACAGTATATAGTGTACCTTTCCATGCATTAAAAATAAAAAAAACAGTAAGCTCTTTAGATACACTAAGACATCTTTATCATAATAAACAATAATAGTAATGTTCAATGCACATTGCAAGATAGTATCTGTTTGTTACTAGGAATCATTGTGTGTACCTTGCATTTTTAATATAGTAGGCTGTATGGGGATGGTTCATAACTATGGGTTATATGTAAGTTGGATGTTTGTAACCTGGGGATTACCTGTATATCAGGTTGATGAGGATGTTCAAATCTTCTACTTCCTTACTGATTTTATGTACATGTTCAATTATTGAGTAAAAGGTATTAGAATCTCTGATTTTAATTGTGAATTTGTCTATTTCTTAGCAGTTTTGTTTTTTTTTCATGTATTTTAGAATTCTTATTGGATGTATCAATGTTTAGTATTGTTATGTCCTTTTGATTAATTGACTGTCATTATGAAAAAATATTAACAGTGTATAACATATATTTATGTTGTTGCTGTTGTTATTTGCCGTCAAGTCGGGCCCAACTCATAGCGACCCCTCCTTGGGTTTCCAAGTTAGTATCACTATGGAAGCAGATTGCTCCATCTTCCTTCCGAGGAGTGGCTGGTGGGTTTGAACCGCCAGCCTTCTGGTTAGCAGTCAAGTGCCTTAGGCACTATGCTACCAGAGCTCCCAACATACATTTATAGCCTATGTAAAAAGTATAACAGTAACACCAACATCAGGAGGGGAGAAATGACAGATAATGTAAGCAGCATATTTTATCATAAAGAAGCCCTGTGGCACAATGGTTAGGTGCATGGCTGCTAACTAAAAGGTTGGTGATTTAAACCTATCCAGTGGCTTCGCAGGAGAAAGACCTGTGACCTGTTCCTGTGGGAATGACAGGCTAGGCAACCCTGTGGAGCACTTCCACTCTGCCACATGGGTCCCTTTGAGTTGAAATCAACTTGACTGCATCTAACAACATTTTATCATAGATTTCAATCAAGAATTTTTCTTCGTTGGACAGCTTACCTGAAATGTTATTTGGTTTAACTTATTCTCCCCCTACACACACACTTTGATTATGGGTGAGGTGGTAGAAAGAAAAAAATGGTCTGCCTAGTGATTTTCTAGAAATATGAAAGTAAGTGCTATTCTTAAGGCTACACAAAATGCATGCCCCTCCACTCGGCCTCACCCTTCTCATGTGTTCAGCAGGCTTTTTGTCTGTCATATCTTTTCTGGTGAAATGGCCATTAATTGGCAAGGAGGAGGAAGGATTCTTACGAGGCATTTTGGGTTGAGAGGTGGGGAACAAGTGCTCCATTTGCGAGTTCATACCTGCGGTTCTAATGGTCTTACAGTGAAGAGAACTGAGGGTGTATTTGGATGCCTTGTTAACACTTGATGCTTACTGTTCTTGCTCCTTCTTAGGAGCCAGCTCCACTCTTTGACCTCGCAATGCTCGCTTTAGACAGTCCCGAGAGTGGCTGGACAGAGGAAGACGGTCCTAAAGAGGGACTTGCCGAGTACATTGTTGAGTTTCTGAAGAAGAAGGCTGAGATGCTTACAGATTATTTCTCTTTGGAAATTGATGAGGTGTGACAGCCATTCTTATTTCCTTGTTGTAGTCTTCAGATAAAAGACAAGTTTTGTAAATGGTACAAGATCAGGATTAGATGCTAGGTATCCCCTCAGCAGCAGCATGCAACATGGTATTTTTCCATTCCCCATTTGCATTTCGAGATTACAAAACTGTTCTGTCATTCACTCACGCCCATTCTTATTCCCAGGGTGAAGGATCCAGACATGAGGGTGAGCTGAAGGCCGTAGTAAATGAGATTATTCCCACCATTTGCTGTCCTGTTTATTCCTCTTAGCTCCTTGATCTTTAGGGCTTTCCATATGTTCTTTGGAAGGTGAGCAGATCCACAGAAGTAGTTATTCTTCATGTCTGGACAAAAAGCTCTTTTTAAGTGCTTAACTTAGCTCTCCTCCCCTAGTACCCTCCCCAGTCAAGCACCAGGTCACCCAAGAGGCAGGTGGGAGGACAAGGCCTGGAGGAAGCACTGGAGAAATGGAATTTGTTAAAACTGTAACAGCATTATTTTTACTATTTTTTTTTAATTTTGTGATTTGGGTGAAAGGTTACAGAGCAAATTCATCTTCCATACAGCACTTCACACTTTGTCTCATGACATTGACAAACCTCCCACAATGCAACAGCTCTCCTCCCCACTTCCTCTCCATAGCTACCTCTTCCTTGTATCCTTCCCTCCATGCACTCCTGCCCCCCAAACTGTCTCCCTGTGCATATACAGCCCTTCTATTCTCCCATGATTGATCTCTCCAAGGAGTGTATCTACTTAGTGTAACCTAATACATGCCTGTCTTTTGTTCGGCTGGAAGCCACAGGAGTGGGTTCAATTTCAGACTTGAAGGACAACTAGGGGCCATAGTCTCAGGGGTTCCCCCAGGCTCTGTCAAACCAGCACATCTGGTCCCTTTTTTTTTTTTGAGTTTTGTTCCACACTGTTTTTCCACTCTATCCAGGGTCTCCTACATAGATCCCCCTCCATCTAGTTCTTCTGGTCTTGTAGTCGTATAGGCTGAGGATTGCATGGTATATCAGTCCCTTGGACTAATTGTTTCCATGTGTCTTAGGTTTTCTACATTCTTCTTTGCTCTGGATGAGGAGAGCCCATTGTTGCATCTAGATGGCTCCTTGCAAGCTTTTAAGACCCCAGTTGCTACTTGCCAAAGTAGGAAGTAGAACAGTGTTGTTGTGTAGTATGTTATGCCAATTGAGCTTGATGTCCCCTGCGACCATGATCCCAAGCCCACAGGTCCAACTACTTGCTCCCTCTTGGTAGCTGGCTGTGGCCAAGAAGTGACTACAACCTTGCCCCTTGTCAGTTCTACTATACACCTGGGAATTCTTACAGAACATACAAATACACTTATAGAAATATTGTCTGCCAGCCCTGTACATGGTCATGGACACACTTCCCCCCTGTATAGATACACCTAATTGTTTGGCCTGTCCACCCATCTATCTACCCATATATCCATGTTTGCCATCACTGACAACACAGTACTGTAAAACTGTAATAGCATTATTTCTTGTCCCTTTGTTGTCCTGGCTTTTTTTTCCCAAGCAGGAAGGGAACCTGATTGGATTACCCCTTCTGATTGACAACTATGTGCCCCCTTTGGAGGGACTGCCTATCTTCATACTTCGACTGGCCACTGAGGTAAGTGATCTGGCCAGTACTAAGCACATGGGTATGTTTGTGTGCTAGTGAGGACACATGACCAAGTCTTCATTTGCAGTGATGAAAAAGGGGAAAATTAGCTGAAGCTTCCCCCACCCCCAGCTCCTCTCTTTAGCAATGTTCTGTAGTTCCAATTTACAACTTTATTGACTAAAAAGTCATGTTTAGCTTTTTAGCTTTAAGTAGACCTCCATTTAGAAATGAAAATGTATTTAAGCGTGTACCATGTTGAGGTATTCTCTCTTTGGACCAGGTGAATTGGGATGAAGAAAAGGAATGTTTTGAAAGCCTTAGTAAAGAATGTGCTATGTTTTACTCCATCCGGAAGCAGTATGTATCAGAGGAGTCCACCCTCTCTGGCCAGCAGGTACTGTGATGCACACTGGCACCCCAGGATTAGGACAGGCCCTCACACAATCTTCAGGAGATGAAACTTTCCCATCTCTAAAACCATAGGATTTCATTTCATGTAACAAGCTTCTCAACAATCTTTAGTGTTTCATAGAAGGTACCTCCAGAGTAATCTCAGGAGCTGTCAGATGTAAAAACACAAGCTATCACCATTAAGAAATTAGAGGTTGAGTTAGATTGTCCAAAGCTTGTGGATCCGTGTCTCCCATTGTTAGCCTTTGCAAATGTAGCCAAAGTCCTCTCTTCAGATTCTGGCGCTCAGTCTCCACATTCTCTTCCGCTTTTGCCCTTACTCTAAACCTGACATAGCCCCATCAGCAAAACAAGGTTGTGTCAAGGTTAGATTCCCAGCTTCTTTTACGGAAGGCCTACTTGACACAAAAGGGCCTAGATTTACCTGATGTTTTGGTGTTATTTTTTCTACTACTTCAATGACAATGCTTTTCAGTCAACAGTTTACTGGGGATGTGTAAGAAAGAGTTAAAACAGTGTAAGATCAAAGGATACACTTGATATACATGACCAATTCATTGCTTGTTTTCTCAAATTAGAAAGTATTCACTGGTTTCAAAGGTGAGGAAACTGAGGGGCAGTTAACCTGCTCACAGGTTCACAGAACCTGTAGGTGGTAGATCAGAGATTCAGTCAACCCTTAGGGAATCCCTGACTCCACTGAAGGCAGTGAGGCAGCACACTCACCAAACAGTGTTGGGAGTCTCTCATTTGATTAGAAAAATTTACCTCAAGGCAAGGAAAGACAGCTGAAAGAGAACTTTTTCTTGGAGAAAAGCTAAGGTAGGAGAGGAAGGGGGGAGCAGGATAATCCTTATTATTTTTATTTTCATTTCATTTCATGGAGCTTTTTGGATAAGATCCCCAGATTTAGTGGTCAGTTAGGAATGGACTACCCACTGTTGTTATCCAAACATCAGACATTATTTCAGATCCTGCTGCAGTATACATTCTACATGAATGGAAAACAAGTTCCGTGGGAGAAAGTTCCATAAGAGCAGTGGCTTCTTTACCATCTGAAAAACCTTGTTTCTTGTGTTCTGTGCCTGTGGGAACCCTGAGAGGCTAGCCTAGAGAGGCTATTTCAGAAGCATTAGATAGCACTGAGACTTTCCAGGCCCAGTACCTGCCAGCCAGAAAGCCAGTGTACAGTGGGATTTGAATAAGGAGACAATAGGGATTCAGACTTTGAGGCTTATGACATCTAATGTGTGTTTTCCAGAGTGAAATGCCTGGCTCAACTCCACACTCTTGGAAATGGACTGTGGAACACATTGTCTATAAAGCCTTTCGATCACACCTTCTGCCTCCTAAACATTTTACAGAAGATGGAAATATCCTGCAGCTTGCTAATCTGCCTGATCTATACAAAGTCTTTGAGAGGTGTTAAATGTGGTCAGTTATGGACCCTGTGGTATGTCTTTTCTATCCCAGTGTTGGTAGGATTTAAGGTTTTAAATTTGCTCTCTTACTAGTTACACTCCCTTCATCTATGGTGGATTGTAAATAAATTCTCAAATGTACCTTAACATGACTTCTTAAGATATTTAATTGTATTACATTTCAAAGTTTTCCTACACTGATTTTCACCTAGTATAATTTATTGTGTTGAAAAAAATCCCAAAAATAGTTTGAAAGCCCCCTGGGCTGAAGTTATACAAGTACCTTAAGAATTCTATAAAGGCCTTCAAGATGTTATGCTTTGATGTATCATGCTCTGATTTGATTCATTCTCTACTGATAATTAAAACAGTTGGATTTCTATTTTTGATGGAAGAAAATACAGTCCTTATTCAGTCTATAATTAGAGTTTTAAGTTATCTTACTGTGTTAATGGCTTTGAATACTACTAGCTTAAGACAAAGAGTTTTCCAGATGATCTTATTTGAAGTATGATATAAAAATGCAAACAAACTGTCAAAATAAGCTATCTTAAAAATAGCCTGCATTAACAGAAATAAGCATTCAGCACAAGGAAGGAATAATGCCTATGGTATAACAAAATTCAGTGAAGAGAGATCACTGGAAAAGAATAGAAAACTCTTAGAACATAAAGAAGTGAGGCCATTTCACTTGGAAATGAATGTGTCCCTATGGAAGAGACAATGGAGGGTGCCTCACACTTCCCAATCTCAAAACGTCCAAACAGCCACAGTAGTCAGACAGCCTGGTACTAGTACGACAGACTCATAGACCAGTGGAAGAAAATTGAGAACCCAGAAGTAAATCTATCCACCTATGAACAGTTGGGGAGCTCTGGTAGCATAGTGCCTAAGGCAGTTGACTGCTAATCAAAAGGCTGGCGGTTCAAACCCACCAGGCACTCCTCGGAAGGAAGATGGGGCAATCTACTTCCATAGTGATGGTGCCTCGGAAACCCAAGGAGGGGTTGCTATGAGTCAGGGCTGACTAGGTGGCACATAACAACAGCAACATGAACAGCTGATCTTTAACAAAAGGGCCATAACCCATTAAATGAGGAAGAGATAGTCCCTTTAACAGAGTACTGCCAAAACTATCCATTTGTAGAAAAATGAAACAAGACCCATACCTCACACCAGGAACAAAAACTTAACTCAAGATGGATCAAACACCTAAATGTAAAACCTAAAACTATAAAGATCATCAAATAAAAAAACAGGGGCAAACCTAGGAGCCCTAATTTATGGATAAATAAGCTATCAAACATAACTAAAAATGCACAAACAGCCAACGATAAGCCAGATGACTGGGACCGCCTAAAAATTAAACACTTGTGTGCATCAAAGACGTTTCTAAAGCACTCACTCGCTATGCCAAGAGATTTGGAAGACAGCTACTTGGCCAAGTGACTGGAAGAGATCCATATTTCTATCCATTCCAAAGAAAGGTGGTCCCACAGAACGTGGAAATTATCAAACAATATCATTAATATCGCATGCAAGTAAAATTTACTGAATATAATTCAAAAACAGTTGCAGCAGTATATTGACAAAAAACTTCCAGACGTGCAAGCTGGATTCAGAAGAGGATGTGGAACAAGGGATATCATTGCTGATGTCAGATGGATCTTAGCTCAAAGAAAGAATACCAGAAAGATGTTTACTAGTGTTTTATTGACTATGCAAAAGCATTTGATAATGTACATCATAACAAATTGTGGATAACATTGAGAAGAATGGAAATTCCAGAACACTTAATTGTACTCATGAGGAACCTGTACATAGACCAGGAGGCTGTCATTTGAACAGAACAAGGGGACACTGCATGGTTTAAAATCAAGAATAGAGTGTGTCAGGGCTGTATCCTTTCACTATACTTACTCAATTTATATGCTGAGCATATAATCCAAGAAGCTGGACTATGTGAAAAAGAACGTGCTATCAAGTTTGGAGGAAGAATCATTAACAACTGCGATATGCTGACAACGCTTGCTGTAATTGAGGATGACTTGAAGCACTTACTGAAAAAGATTGAAGAATATAGTCTGCAGTATGGATTACATCTCAATATAAAGAAACAAAAATCCTCACAACTGGACCTATAAGCATCATCACAATAAATGGAGAAAAGATTCAAGTTGTCAAAGACTTCACATTGCTTGGTTCTACAGTCGATGCCAGTGGAAGCAGCAGTCAGGACATCAGATGACGTATGTTGTTGTTGTTGTTATGTGCCATCGAGTCAAACCCGACTCATAGCGACCCCTCCTTGGGTTTCCAAGGCAGTATCACTACGGAAGTAGGATAGCCCAACCTTCCTTCCAAGGAGTGGCTGGTGGGTTTGAACCGCCAGCCGTCTGGTTAGCAGGCAAGTGTCTTAGCCACTATGCTACCAGAGCTCCCAGATGACGTATAGCACTGGGCAAATCAGCTGCAAAGGACCTCTTTCAAGTGCTGAAGAGCAAAGATTTCTTCTTTAGGAATAAGATGTGCCTGACATAAGCCATGGTATTTTTAGTCGCCTCTTAAGCATGTGAGAGCTGGACAATGAATAAGGAAGACCAAAGAAAAGTTAATGCTTTTGAGTTGTGATGCTGGCAAAGAATGCTAAAAGTATCATGGACTGCTAAAAGATGTAACAAATCTGTCTGGAAGAAATGCAGCTAGAATGCTCCTTGGAAGTGAGAATGGCCAGACTTCATCTCACCTACTTTGGTCATGTTGTCAGAAGGGACCATTCCCTGGAGAAGGATGCCATGCTTGGTAAGGTGGAGGGTCGACAGAAGAGGGGAAGGCCCACAACGAGATGGATTGACAATAGTGGCTGTGGCAATGGGCTCAAGTATAGCAAGGATCATGGAATTGGCTAAGGACTAGACAGTGTTTTGTTCTGCTGTGCATAGGGTCACTGTGAGTTGGAGATGACTCGACAGCACCTAACAATAACAACAACGTGCTAGAGAAGTATGACACAGATATATGCACATCCAAGTTCATTGTAGCATTATTCGTAATGCAAAAAGATGTAAACAACGTGAGTGCTTGCCAAAGGGGCAGGGAGGCCACATCTTCTGACCTCCTCTAACCCCACAGGAAGAAGACAGAATCACCATCAGTAGCCCAAGCCCTATCCCTGCGAGGCCAGATATGCTGCCTCCCTCCAGCCTTTTCACCAACTGTTCCTCCTGCAGCACCCACTATGTCTCTGCTGGGTTCGATAATTTGCTGCAGTGGTCACACAGAACTCATAGATTATAGGGTTTATTAGTGAAGCAACAGGCTATAATTCAAGTTCAGAAATGCACTCAATCTCTCGCAGCCAGCAGTCTCTCAGCAGCCGGCAGTGTAAGTAGCACATTGCTTTCTCAGCAGTGCGTGTCTCTCATGTCTTTCAGGAGTGTGTTTCTCTCAGCAGCATGTCTTGCTCAGCCAGCAGAGAGACCTTCTTCCTCTAGGAGAGCGCCTTTTGAGTCTGGCAGAGTGGCCAAACTAAGCAATCTGAACATCAGAATTCTATACATGTGAAAGAGAGAGAACTTCCCAGAAGATTGTTTCATGCTGGGTCAACAGAAATACTCCAGGTGGTAATTTTAACCATCAGAAGCTACTCGGTTGCTCACAGCAAATTCCACCATGGATTTTACAAAGACTTAAGGCTAGAAAAACCCTGCTATGTACTTTACTACACTGCAGTGCTCATCAACAGATGAATGGATAAACAAACTATGAGGCATACACACTAGGCTACTACACAATTAGAGATTTGTTAGAGAATAATGAATCTATGAAACAACTCACAACATGGAAGGACCTGGAGGACATCACACTGAGTGAAATAAGTCAATCACAAAAGAACAAATAATACTGTATGAGACCACTATTACTAGGGAGTAGACATACTAACTTGATGAAGGGGAAGGCAATACACAATGAGGGAGAGGTCAGCACAACAAGACCTCAGCAAAGGAAAACACTGGGAGGTACACGAAATTGAAAAGCTAAATACTATTACACACACAACAGTAAATACTATTTACATACACAATCTTTCAATAATAGTAATAAATAATTTATGTTGTTAGGTGCCACTGAATCTGTTCTGTTAGTAACCCTGTGTACAACAGGATGAAACGCTGCCCAGTCCCACACCATCCTCACAATCCCTGCTGTGCTTGAGTCTGTCATTGCATCCAAACATCATATTCTCCAGGGACTGGTCCTTTCTGGCAACGTGACCAAATTAGATGAGACGAAATCTGGCCATTCTTGCTTCTAAGGAGCATTCTGGCTGTACTTCCAAGACAGATTTCTTCTTCTAGGAGTCTGGTATTTTCAGTATACTTCACCAACACCACAATTCAAATACAGTTCTTCGGTCTTCCTTAATTCAGCGTCCAGCTTTCTCATGCATATGAGGCTATTGAAAATACTGAAAATACTCTGGCTTGGGTCAGGTGAAATCTTAGTCTTCAAAGTGACTTCTTTGCTCCTTAACACTTTAAAGAAGTCTTTTGCAGATTTGCCCAGTGCACTGTCTGATTTCTTGACTCCTTCTCCCACGGGTGTTGATTGTCAATCCAAGTAAAACGAAATCTCTGACTTCAGTCTTTCCCCCATTTATCATGAGGTTATTTACCAGTCCAGTTGTGAAGATTTTTGTTTTATGTTGAGGTGTAATCCATACTGACTGTAGTCTTTAAAATTGTTCAGTAAGCGCTTCAAGTCCTCTTAGTTTTTTCAGCAAGCATGGTTCTGTCATCTGCATCTCACAGATTGTTAATGCATCTTCCTCCAGTCCTCATGCCTCATCCTTCATACAGTCCAGCTTCTCAGATTATTTGCTCAGCATACACATTGAGTAAGTATAGTAGAAAGGATACAATCTTGATACACAACTTTGCTGATTTAAAACCATGCAGTATCCCCTTGTTCTGTTCAAACACCTGCCTCTTGGTCTATGTGCAAGTCTGTCTATGAGTGTATACATAGGTGAATATGTAAACTGAACAGATGTAGA